GATAAGTCCAGAAGAACTCCATGGAAGTTAACAGAGTTACATGCGTCTAGACTAAAATGAAATTCAGTCCCATGTCTCTTACTTTAGCTTGGAGTGCTACAGAAGCTATATGCTTAGTCTGGAGTCATTATCAAATTATTGGTGACAACTTTGACGTTTTCCAGTTGAGCCCCAGCCATCCTCAGGCCTAAGCAGTGTAACACAGTTTACAAAGTGGAGAGGGGTTACTTGGCAAATCCTGTCCTGATGCAGGGAAGGAACTAGATCAGCGGTTCTCAAACTGTGGGTTGGGACCCCAAGTACCACTGCCCAGGCCAAAGCCCACTGCTGGGGCTGAAGCCCTTGGGTTCAGTCTTCAGTCCCCACTCCTGGGGTCATGTAGTAATTTTTGTTCTTAGAAGGGGGCCGTGGTGCAATGAAGTTTGAGAACCCTTGAACTAGATGACCTACTGAAGGCATCACAGACCCACATAAGTAGTCATTGTGACGTTGTGCAGTCTATATGGTTTTATAAAAACATGATAATAAGTGAATATAATGTAACTGGAATATGCTTCATGCAAAAGGTCTCTTGTAAGGTATCATTACAAAGCTTATAATCTACTGAGTGTGATCATCCTATTTGTATAAATACCACTCTTGTATCTAAAACTAGAAATATGAAATATAACTCTGAGGGCCTATTGTAATTATGCAAAGTGTGGGCCATTAATGATGGTTTGGAATCTTGATGACTCCCATTAACTAGGACCATTGTCTGCAGATGGCTGTGTTTTACCTGTGAGTCTTCCTGTATATGTGTGTGCTGGCAAGTGAGTAATGAGGTCTTGCAGTAACATGTGATCATGTCAACTGGAATCCATCTTTAACCTGGTGCTTTTCCAGTGAGGAAGGGTGGAAACCCAGAGGGACAAAGGGTTCCCGCCTTATGCAAAAGATATATAAAGGGGTGGAAGAGAACAAAGAGGAGAGAGAGGAGCCATCATGAAGAATCCCCTAGCTACCACCTAAGCTGGAACAAGAGCTGTACCAGGGGAAAGAATTGTGCCCAGGCCTGGAAGGTGTCCAGTCTGAGGAAAAAACTTACTGAAGTATCTCTAAGGGTGAGATTATCTGTATTCAGTTTGATTAGACATAGATTTGTGCATTTTTTTTTATTTTGCTTGGTAACTTACTTTGTTCTGTCTGTTACTACTTGGAACCACTTAAATCCTACTTTCTGTATTTAATAAAATCACTTTTTACTTATTAATTAACTCAGAGTATGTATTAATACCTGGGAGAGCAAACAACTGTGCATATCTCTCTACCAGTGTTATAGAGGGCAAACGATTTATGAGTTTACCCTGTATAAGTTTTATACAGGGTAAAACGGATTTATTTGGGTTTAGACCCCATTGGGAGTTGGGCATCTGAGTGATAAAGACAAGCACAGTTCTGTGAGCTGTTTTCAGGTAAACCTGCAGCTGTGGGGCAAGTAATGCAGACCCTGGGTCTGTGCTGGAGCAGACGGGAGTGTCTGGCTCAGCAAGACAGGGTGCTGGAGTCCTGAGCTGGGGTAGTCTTGGTGCATCGGGTGGCAGCTCCCAAGGGGGTTTCTGTGATCCAACCCGTCACAGTATTGGGTCTTTGGACCAGGGCACCGGAGGACACCCCCATCCTGGCAAGAATGATCTTTGCATGTCTTTCATGCATATTAAATTATTGTAGCTTGGTCTTCTGCACTTTACGCTGCATCATCTTTTCCTCTACCTCTGTACTTATTCCCTTCCTCACATACATACCTCCTCCAATCCCTTGATCTCACCCAAAGTCACCCTGTCAGAAGAGGCTGAAATAAGAGTTACAGAGGCAAAGATAAATCTGATTTCTCAATTAGCAAATTGGCATACCACCTTTCTCAGCAAGCTAAGACCCAAGGTGATTGACTAGGCACAAGAATTGCCAGACAAACTATTCTCTTAATCAAAACATGTAAAGAGCGCTCTCATTTTAAATAAAAATCACAATGTAACAGGCTTTAGCTTTACAAGAGAAAAATGAAACTGTTAGCTTTTATCTAAAGTCAAACTTCTGTTAACAGGGCAGTCACAGTAAAGCCCCGTCTACACTAGAGCTTTAAAGCTCACCTGAAACACTTTTTTAAAATATACTTGTAACACTGTAGCCCCAAGCACAATGTTCAAAAGTGTCTCGTGATCCTGGGTGCCTAACAAGGGGCCTGATTTTTAGCCTGCACCCACCCTCTGAAAGTCAAGCCCATTTAAGGTGTCTCAGGTGGGTACCCAAAAATGAGGGCAAAGTTACTCGTCACTTTTGAAAACGTGGACCTACAAGCTTAACTGTGGCTTAAGCATACCCATGCTGACGGACACACTAGCCTGTGTAGGTGGGACCAAGAACTCCCATTTGTTCACTTGCATCACACCTTCTTCCCCTACACATGGAATGCCCTTCCTGAAGAGATACATAATGCCACTATCCTCTCCCCCTCAAGAGTCACTGCTGTCATGAATCCTGGTAAGTTGAGGGTCACTTGGGACTTGCTGATTTTTAAATACATAATTTTCATTTTTATGTTGTATCCTTTTTCCCCCCACTCCCTTTGACTGGTGTTTGTCTTTGTCAGCACTTCAGATTGTCTCTCTGAGTGTAGGTAGCATATTGTGAGTGTTAAATTTTACTTATTTCTGTTTCAGTAAGTCAGTTCTGAAGAGGAACAGTATTCTAGTCTAGGCCTACCTGGGCAAAACCTCATCTTTACACACACATCCCGTCGAACAGGTCTAATTGTGTTGGAATCAAGATTTAACAACTCAGACTTCAGTTTAAGTGCAATTAAACACCCTCTGAGGATGGGGCTTTAAGTTAATTTTCAGCAACCATAGGCTACTGGAGACTGGCCATTTCCCCCTAAATTTCCCACCCGTGGAGCTGCTGCAGTGGTAACAGGGCTCACGGAGGCATGGGCTGTCTTTGTTTTAAGTTTATACAGTGAAAGGCACAACAGGATTCTGGCCTCTATGAACTACTGTAATAAATAATAATGATGTGTAGACCAAACTCCACATCACCTAACTATGCTCAGTGCAGGACTAGAACAGTGGTTTTCAAACTGTGGGTCGCGACCCAGTACTGGATCGTAGAATGTAAAGCACTAGGTCGTGGCGGCTCTGGTTAGCACTGCCGACCAGGCCGTTAAAAGTCCTGTCAGCAGTGCTGCCTGGCTAAGGCAAGCTAGTCCCTACTTGTTCTGACACTATGCTACGCGCTGGAAGTGGCCAGCAGCAGGTCCGGCACCTAGGCGGGGGGGCCAGGGGGCTCTGCGCGCTGCCCCCACCCTGAGCACTGGCTCCGCACTCCCATTGGCTGGGAACCGGGATTTCAGCCCTGAGCGCCCCCCCCAAACCCAGAGCCCACTCCTGCACCCCAAACCCCTCATCCCCAGCCCCACCCCAGAGCCTACACCCCCAGCCCAGAGCCCTAACCCCCTCCCACACCCCAACCCCCTGCCCCAGCTCAGAGCCCCCTCCCACAACCTGAACCCCTCATTCTCAGCCCCACTCCGCAGTCCTCACTCCCACACCCCAGCCCTCTGCCCCAGCCCTGAGCCCCTCCCACACCTCAAACCCCTCATCCCCAGCTCCGTTGGGTCATGGGCATCAACAAATTTCTTCAATTGGGTCGCCAGAAAAAAAGTTTGAAAACCACTGGACTAGAGGACGGAGGACATGCTTTTCAAGGGTGCTCAGCACCCACAAGCAGAACTAAGTTTTCAGAAGTGCTCTCGGCCATGTTCATCTGAAAATCTGGCCATAAGTGTCACAATAGGATCTGCAGGGTGTTGAGCTCTTTTGAAGAGCTGGCTCTTATTTAGGTGCCTAAATGAGAGCTAAACTCATTTGAAAATCTGGCCCATAGTGCTGACTGCTGGCATACACCATTGGCCTTCTCCACTAGAACGTGTCATTGGTGGTAGCAATGGCCGGATTTTTTGGGAGGGGGAAGGGAGCGGATAAGAGTCTAATACAGCTGTGGCCTGAATGCCCTATCACAGGGTTTCTCAAACAGGGGTCGCCACTTGTGTAGAGAAAGCCCCTGGCGGGCCGGGCCGGTTTGTGTACCTGCGGCCGATCGCGGCTCCCACTGGCCGCGGATCGCTGCTCTGGGCCAATGGGAGCTGCTGGAAGCGGCAGTCAGTAAGTCCCTCGGCCCGCGCTGCTTCCAGCAGCTCCCATTGGCCCAGAGCAGCAACCCGCGGCCAGTGGGAGCCGCGATCGGCCGGACCTGCGGACGGGACAGGTAAACAAACCAGCCTGGCCCACCAGGGGCTTTCCCTACACAAGCGGCGACCCCTGTTTGAGAAACCCTGCCCTATCAATTCTACAACTAGGGCCACGTTATAAAGGAGTTCCCTGACAGTGACTTCCAGGTGGATGTGGTCTTAGAACAAAGCTCTACTTCAAACTCAGCATCCGGCCCCACCTCCACTATACTTATTCAAGCAAGACTCCCTGCAACCGACAGCCCTTCCCAAGCTAGTGTGTGAGTGATCTGGCATTAGTTATTACATTATCAGCTTCTAACTATGCCTAAAGTGCTGGTTCAGGTGTGCTAAGGACGGGCTGAACAACAGACACTGGATCCAGCAGGGAAGTTAGATCCTGCCCCCCAAGCAGGGTGAACAGAATGGAGCGCTGACAGACCATCACCTTGGCCTCACAATGATGTGCTCCTCCACCCCAAATACCATGGATGTTTCAGGACCAAAAGCCTCCCCCATCCGCTGGGGAGGGGAGAGCCGCCAGCAAGTGGAGGGAGAGGGAAGCCCTGGCCATTGCAATGTCAAGTGAAGGGGAACCCGAAACAACGTGCTCTGGCCGGGGGCTGGGCATGCAGCTGCACAACTAAAGCCCCGGCCCTGCTCCACCCCCCCGCTCCCAAGGAAATGTCCCCAGGGAGATAGCTCAGAAACACCACGCCGCCCCTCCTCCTGCTCCTCCCCCTGCTTCCAAGCCAGGGGAAGCCAGTTGGTCGCACCACAAACCACCACCTCATCCAGCCCCGGGGCAAGGGAAAGAGAAGCTGCCACAAAGCAGCCGCTGGGGCTGCACGATCCTCTCGCCCCAGCCCCGAGGAAGGTAGTTTGCTAGGGGACCCCCCAGGGGATCCAAGCTCTGTGCGCCCGGGGAGGGGGGGAAGCAGACTTTACATTGACAAGAGTCCTAACAAAGTTTCCTCCCCCTTCCCAGGGCTGCCCTGCTGAGCCTGGATCCCTCCCTCCCAGCCTCCAGCTCCCAGACCCGCGGGCACAAGCGATCCCCAGAGAGCCGCTCCGCTCACCTCTCCGCTCGCATCCCTCACGCCGGGGGGCAGGCGGCTCCTAAGGACCTTACCCAGGCGGGACGGGAGAGAGGGGGGGATGCATCAGGCACGCGGCTTCGCCCCGGGGCGCGCCACCCGGCCCCGCAGCGGCTATAGCGACACCCACCTCCCGGGAGCCTCCAAACTCCCCTCTCGTGTCTCTTTGTACCAGCGAACAGACACAGCAGCCGGCCGCCCGCACTGCGGCTGCGCGCTGCCCAAAATCAACAATGCAACCCTCCTCCCCTGCTGGGGCTCCGGAGAGGAGGAGGAGCAGCGGGATAAATCGAGCTCTGGGGCTGAGCATAGAGCGCACAGTCTGCGCGCAGGGGCACAGACCAGGCTGCCTAGCAAGGGTCGCTGGCTTAGGGGCAGAGTCACCAAGCGGGAGAGCTAGCTCATACCAAGGAAATTCAATAACAAGAGTGAGAGGGCGATATGTTGCTCCCAAGAGGTTCAAGCAAAGCAGAGGACTGAACTTCAGGATGTTGCTTGGGTAGATTTGATAGGTCAGCTCAGTTATATAGACCTGCCACTGCCTTTCTGTGTGACTTTGGACAAATCACTCTCTCTGTGCCTTGGTGTTCCCATCTGTAACGTGGGGATAATAATACCTGCTAGGATAGAAGAGAGGGCTGTTTAGATCTATTTAGAGCATGCCCAGTGCTGGACCTCTTTCAATCATTTTAAATAAAATGTTTTGCAATTTACATTTTGCAATATACACATGCAGACTTTCCATTCACGAGCTTATGCGCTGCACGTACTGAGCTGCATTGTGGGACTTAGTTTTTAAACAGTCTCTTTTAAGCCTTATGACTGAAAGAACGCTACAAAGGAATGATCAGTAAAAAAATGAAACCTACTTCATGTACCACTAATGATAACAGGTTCTAATATCTCTTGACACTTGTATAGCAGCATTTCTTTCTAGGATCTCAAAGCACTTGACACACATTCCCAAACTATTTCCCATCTGTGCTGATGTGTTTGCCTCTGCCAATGAAGCATTCATTTGTACAGATAATTTCTCTTTTTCTCTGTTTTTAAGGGTAGGTGGGAAAGAATTTTGCATTTTGCTGAGCATGACTCAGCTGCAGATAAAGCATGCTGGAGTTTGTGAGGGTGCTAACCTGAGACAATTCTAACTAGACTGATCTGCCATCATGGCTAAAATGCCTAGCACAACTCACTCTCTCCCCTTGCAACAAGGAGATTCTGAATCTCAGCACATCTGATTTAGGACTCCCTGTTGTATGGACTGGATGTAGAGCGATCATTTGGATTTAAAAATTAAAACTTGGGGCCAGGGGGAAAAGGAGTGTTCAAATTGATCTTTGTAATAAAACTACAGTATCCTTGAAAAATTGCCTAAAACATATTTTTAATCTAAATAAGGAAGTGTTCCCTCCATTAAAGGGCTAAAAGATGGATCCAAAGTCCATTGAAATTAATGACTTCAGTGGGTTTTGGATCAAGTTCCAAATCCTGAAATGGCTGGCACAGCAAGGGCATGCCCTGTGTTAAGGGAGTCTTGTCAGCCGGTCCAGGGTTCCTCACTGCAGGCTGTGGTGGCCCCATTGTGAAGTGCAAGGGTTTTGCAGATCAGAAGCAAAGTGCCCCCCTGCCAGTTAGGACTAGCTGTTGACAACAGTATTTGGTATTTCCCTTTCAGCAGGGAGTAGATGGAGTATTTAGCTTTGAAATTCTCAATCTATAACACCTCTTAAAACGATGGTCTTAAAACTGTTGTGCCCAAACTCTGTTGGCTAGAAAAACTGTCTTTAAAACCCTTTTTGGCTAACAAGGCCACAGTTTTAAAAGCATTCACTTATATTGTATGCTTCAGTGTTTTGGTAGCCAACCTGAAATTTCAGTGTGGATGGATGCCATAGTTCCTTTCACTGCTTCTGTATTATGTCGGGTTCTATTCTGAGTGCCCTGTGCCTCTCAGCTCCTAAGAGCAATAGCTACCTTTGTGATAGCGGAGAGATTGATTTTATAGCTCTGATTCTACAATCTGTTTGAATTAAGGAGTGGTTAACAAGTGAATGCACAGGCCTGGAACAAGTGGCACACAATAGACTGAACAAATGCCAACAGTTTGAGGATGCTTGGTCTTTCCTTCCACATTTGGATGCATAGTGTTGCTCGTTGATCAGCCATGGCATGTTATTTCACAACACACAAAGACACTACTGTTGCACTGCACATATACTCTCTCTGGGCTTCTCTTTCTGCTTCAGTGTCAGTGTTTGTGTTTGACACCTCATGACCTTCCTTGATAGTTTCATTCTCTTGCTTCTATTTTATTTCTACCTTTCTTCTGAGGATTCTCTGGGAACCCTGCAATTTTTCCGCTGGTTTTGAACCTGTAATACCATACCTGAAAACTAATGCAGCCTTTGAATTGAGACTGGTCTGGATTGTTTCAATTAACATTCATTCCAGAATGTAGCAGAAAGAAGATCTGAGTAAGTCTACACTCGCACTCATTTTTTTAAAGGCCACACTCAACTAACTTTAGGCTCCAAAGTTAAGTTGGTTGTTGGTTTTATTAAAAGGGGGGCTTTACCGAGCCTAAATGAAAGTATTTCCACCTAAACTATTTTCAGTTTTGTTTTCAAACTCCCCAAAACCATTACACTATTTTTAGACATTAAATAACATACCAATATTTATTTTTTGTAAATAAGGCTGTTGTGAAGTTGTACTAGCACAAGTCATCTCACAAACCAGTAAGCTTTTATTTAAAAAAAAAAGCTAAACAACTACTTAAATACATTATATATATTTAAATCAGCAGCACCTATTTTTATAACACTTCCAGGCTGACACTTTTATGGATGAGTTATCAACCCCTGAAAAACTGAGGCTTAAGGAAAGAAATGCTGACAGAAGTGTATTCAACCTGCATTGCAAATGCACTGCTAACAGAAACATATATCCAAGCAGCAGACAGCTCCTTAACATCAACTATTCAACCCAAATAGTAGTTAAACCCAGGCCTCATCCTCCAGGCCTCACTCACGTAACTCACACTACACGTGGACCACAGCTCAAAGAGCCAGGAAGCGACTCAGAAGAAGTCAGTGAACTACTCACATAAGTAAGGGCAGCAGGGTCAGGCCTTAAGTTTAATGAATTAACTGAATCTTAACATTATTATTTGTATGATGGTAGCCCCAGTCATGGAGCAGGACCCCATTTTGCTGGGAACTGTACAAACACAGAACAAACCTACAGTCCCTGCCCCAAAGACTTTGCAATCTAATTTTACCCTTTGTTGGAGCAAGGATCGGAGCAGGCAGATATGACACCCTCCTCCTTCTTCTGCTGCTCAATCCTTTCTTTCAGAAGCTGCCAGCGGGTGACAGTTTAAATGAATGGAATTTAAGAAGAAATCAGTTGGAGCATTGCCTTCAGAAGAGCTCAGGAACAGACTTTACATGTCCATGCAATAGGCAGTGCTGTTCTGTTTTTGCATCTGAGTATAATGGACCAGATTCTGGCCCACCCCGCACCCCTTTGCGCTACTCTGGCAAGGGCTTGTAAAGTGCATGAAACAGGAAGCTGAGGATTTCCCGGACATGAGGGAATCCTCATCTGAGGAAGCACCCGTATAGCACAGCCCGCTCTATTCCACTCATCCAAGCCCCTGGGTGTAGGGGACATGCGGGGGAGTGTGGTAAGAGCACCCTACCACATGGATACTAGTGATTCCTTACCAGCATGGAGCAGCTGTGAAGCTGATCTAATTTACACCTGGGCCTGAACTGGCCTCTGGGGAGTAGGGCAGTGCAGCTACTTTAGTTCCCAGCCACACGGTCCTACAGAACAAGGCTAGCCCCAAGCATTAGGGACAATATGTATTCTTAAATCATTGAGGCATATCAGGGAGGAGCTGGTTATTAGAGGCTAATGAGGCTAAGCGTCACCAATATCACAGCAGAGTAATGTGGCTGAGTTACCTGTTGGCACTGGGAGACTCTGGGTGGGGGGAGGGGCTGGAACTACAAGTTGCAATTCATCTAAGGGCCAGCAGGGGACTCCTTGCTCTGCAGCATGGGCTGCAAGCAGCCTGAAGAGGTGGGGAGGGACTATTTCAGATCATATGAACGTGCTGCCTCTGTTCCAGACCACTGGCAGGTGTGGGTGGTGGAAAAGATGAACTGCCTTACTATGAATTATTTGTGAGAGTCTCTATTGCACCTGAATTTGTTTTGTTCTGTTTGCTCATTTAACAATGTATAAATGTGGTCTCGGAGCCTGGCTCGCATGTGGCGTGTACATGGGGGGGGGATGTTCCTGGACTAGGAGTGTTGGGTGAGAGGGGTTCATTGCTGAGGAGGGTTCTCTGTTGTGGGGGGATAGATAGAAAGAGGGAGGGTCTCAGCAGATGTAGGGGAAGGAGGAGATCTAAGATGACAGATTGGGTTGGAGGGAAATGATAAGGTCTGGGCACCTTCTGAGCTAAGAGCAGGGAATATGTTGGTTTGTCAAGGGAGAACAATCAATTGGTGAAAGAGTAGGTGGGCACATTGGTTGGTGGCATGTGAGGGAAGTAGCTGGTAGAGGTTGGGACTTGGAGAGAACAGCAAAGAGGTGACAGAGATAAATACTTTTTTATCCCCCCTGCACTTTTACTGGGGAGTGTTCTACTTTTTCACACTGAAAGTGTGCAGGAGAGGGGGAAAAGGAACCTTTTCTTCACACCAATCTCCCTTATTCCCCAGGCAAACACTTTCCTACAACACCCTCGCCACAGGGTCCCAGCTTTTAGTTGTAAAATATGGTCCAAGGAGTTGCTACCTGCAACCCCACACATTTTCAGAACTAAGGATCACTGACAGAGACTAATCATATTCTATCTATAAAAACCACTGCCCTCTCTCCAAATTACTTCTTAAAAACCTCCCTTCGCCTGGGTGCCTTTTCGTGATTGCCCAAAGAAAGAAGTACTTGTTCATTTATTCTTGTTCGACCTTTAGGTGTCCCATTTAGGTTGCACTAAAGTGCATTTGGTCTTGTAAGGTCAAATCCTGTCATCTTTCAGCAATCACTGCTTGTATGAGCAAGACCAGCAAGCTTTGCACCTGGTTCTTATGTGTCTGCACTGTTTTGTGTGGCTAATTTGGGGCTCCAGCCAAGTCCCACTGCAGTTAATGGAAGTGTGTCCACTGACTCCAGCAAGAGTTGGATCAGGCCTTTAGAAAGTATAAGCTCATTGGGGCTATCTTCCTCTCTAACCTTTACAGGACTGAGCACACCATTGGCATGCAAGAAAGAAAGATAGATAATATACATTTTCCCTATAGACAGGATGCTGGTGTCACAGCTCCACATGATCAGAGCATTGGAAAAGTCTCTTGGAGGAACCCTGTGATGTACCAGACTCCCACGGGGTCTCGCTCTTCCTTCAGGGTAGGTCACATGGCCCCACCGCATCCTGTGACTGAATTGCTGGACTTCACCACACCTGTTTCACACTGTGAGCTCTGTTAAGCAAATCCAACTGGAAAGGCTTGTACACTCTCCAGGGATTAAAGCACCTCACCAAGCATTTACAGTGACACTCAGGCAGCGTTTTCAAAACAGTTGGGTTATTAATCAGCTGGAGCACAGTTTTGGAAGTCTTAGGGTACGTCTATACTTACCTGCTGGTTTGGCGGCAAGCAATCGATCTTCTGGGATCGATTTATCGCGTCTG